TAGCGTTTTAGACACAACCAATTGACAAGTACACAAAGTTATTCACACCTTCATAGTCCGGTATTGTTAGGGTAATTGTCTATAGTAGTAGACTTTGTAGTACTCTATCAACTGTTCGATATTCGGTTTTTTTACAGATTCCGGTATTGTCAATGTTTAATGCAATAGTTTAAAGAAGGGAAAATTTGGGACTGAAAAATTCGTCCGGTATTTAGAGAGTTCCGATTTTCTCAGCGTCCGGTTTTCTCAAATTTCACTGTATATGTACATCACAATGTCAATATCTGATATACATTTTTGAATATTCAAGGTGCATTTAATAAATGAACAAAACCGACAAATATGAATAAGAACAATAAATATACATTCATCAGTGCACTCATTTAATTACATGACATGACACACAAAACATATTTATAAAATAGATGAATCCACAAAGACACAATAATGTTTATACAAAATACAAGATATTATGTTTCAATTTGCTGTTGCACATGCGTGATGGCAAACGACAAGCGGCAAAATTTGAGGCTTTGTCTTGATTTGATTTACTTTCAGATGATAAAAAATAATCGACAAAACCATACATAAGGAATGCCTGAAACGACCAAATTAAAAATGTTGCATGCTCGGTTTGATCGAATCTGTTCATGGAAGGTAATGGAAAGTGCAAATCACCTTCATGTCCCCCTAGCCCCGGCTTAAGCAGAATCCAACATCTTAATATTAAAATTGTGAAATTTTAAAAAATAACCATCTCCATATGCGTTCATGTGGCGGTTATAATGGAACCTTCAATGTGATATATAATTGCCATTCCATGTTAAGTGGCGTATCTATCCAAATAAAGAATGTGTGTGCGCTAAATGGGAAAACAATCTGCGAAATTATCTCAAATGTACCTTGAACGGGATCAGGGGTTAAGGTTGAGAATGAAATGAAAATTTCACACATTATTGTTACAAATGTTACAGGTTGTTACAAGTGTTACAGCTGAGGCCTTTAAAATGGTCAGAAATCGGAATTAATAGGGTTACATAGATGTTACAAGGTTGTTACATAGTTGTTACAGCATAGTTTCAAATGTTACGAGAGTTTGGAGTGAAATGAAAATTTCACGGATAATTGTTACAAATGTTACAGGTTGTTACAAGTGTTACAGCACAAGCCTTGAAAATGGTCAGAAATCGGAATTAATAGGGTTACATAGATGTTACAAGGTTGTTACATAGTTGTTACAGCATTGTTACAAATGTTACGAGAGTTGAGAATGAAATGAAAATTTCACACATAATTGTTACAAATGTTACAGGTTGTTACAAGTGTTACAGCACAAGCCTTGAAAATGGTCAGAAATCGGAATTAATAGGGTTACATAGATGTTACAAGGTTGTTACATAGTTGTTACAGCATTGTTACAAATGTTACGAAGGTTGAGAATGAAATGAAAATTTCACACATTATTGTTACAAATGTTACAGGTTGTTACAAGTGTTACAGCACAAGCCTTGAAATGGTCAGAAATCGGTATAAATAAGGTTACATATATGTTTCAAGGTTGTTACGTAGTTGTTACAGCACTGTTACAAATGTTACGAAGGTTGAGAATGAAATGAAAATTTCACACATTATTGTTACAAATGTTACAGGTTGTTACAAGTGTTACAGCACAAGCCTTGAAAATGGTCAGAAATCGGAATTAATAAGGTTACATAGATGTTACAAGGTTGTTACATAGTTGTTACAGCATTGTTACAAATGTTACGAAGGTTGAGAATGAAATGAAAATTTCACACATTATTGTTACAAATGTTACAGCTTGTTACAAGTGTTACAGATGAAGTCTTTAAAATGTTCAGAAATCGGAATTAATAAGGTAACATAGATGTTACAAGGTTGTTACATAGTTGTTACAGCATTGTTACAAGTGTTACTAAAGTTTGGAGTGAAATGAAAAATTCACAGATAATTGTTACAAATGTTACAGGTTGTTACAAGTGTTACAGCACAAGCCTTGAAAATGGTCAGAAATCGGAATTAATAAGGTGACATAGATGTTACTAGGTTGTTACATAGTTGTTACAGCATTGTTACAAATGTTACGAGAGTTTTGAGTGAAATGAAAATTTCACAGATAATTGTAACAAAAGTTACAGGTTGTTACAAGTGTTAGAGTAAAAACACTAAACTGACCAGAAAACGGAATTAATAAGGTTACACAGATGTTACACGGTTGTTACATAGTTGTTTCAGCATTGTTACAAATGTTATGAAGGTTGAGAATGAAATGAAAATTTCACAGATAATTGTAACAAAAGTTACAGGTTGTTACAAGTGTTACAGTAAAAACACTAAACTGACCAGAAAACAGAGTTAATATGGTTACATAGATGTTACTAGGTTGTTACATAGTTGTTACAGCATTGTTACAAATGTTACGAGAGTTTTGAGTGAACTGAAAATTTCACAGATAAGAGATATAAGGAACAAACTTGTTACAAATGTTACTGAATTCACATGCGTTACGTAGGTGTTACTCAGTGTTACGCTTGTAACAAATGGCAAGTGTTTCATTGAATTGCGCCCATTTTGTGCCCTACGTGAGTTTTCAAGTAGGAAAACTGGAAGCACCAAAATTGAAAAATATCGGATATAATTTTCTAAAAATGCCTAAAACATTTATACACAGTAATAATGTCATGCTCAACCATATTCAAGGATTAAAAATATTATATCTTTGGATTTATTTACAGCCTCCACACGAGTCATACTAATGTGGCAGTTATATAGACAAAACGAAATTGCTAAAGAGCGTCCATAACGACAAACTGGTGAAATTTTGAAATAAGGAACATCCGCATATGTGTTAACATTCGAATAATTAAATGAAATAAAAGTAATTTTTGAAATTCTGAACCGAAAGATCCGATTTAATCCTGCACCAAGTCTATTTATAAACATACTCAGTTACGTAATTATTAGGGTATTGTTCAACTGAATTGGAATGTGTGTGTAAGAAAAAGAACAACATTATATATGTGTTTGAATTGTTTTTCGTTAATACGTATTGATAATTATGTATGAACTGTACTAGAACTTTGTGTTGCTCTCTGCTATGCACTTGCCTAATTGTATGTACTGTAATTGACATGTGTTTTCTCTTGTATTTGTATGTATGTAGGCTAAGAATAAGTAACTGAAAATTGAGACTTGCTTTGAAATATATGAAAATTGGCCTTTGTAAGGTTGCATACAGTTAAGGGGTAAAATGATTCCCAAAGACAGAAGCACCCTTTTTGCAACCATCTTTTGAGTTTTCAGTGTAAATATGGACAAAGGCCTAGTGTTATTCTTTGACTTTGAAAAAATTGATTTTACTTTTTAGGAAAATATGTTGTTTTATCAAAGTTGGAACGCTCACATTAACTTGTTGTGATTTGCTTATCTTTTTTATTATAAGATTTCAAGGGGACGTTTTAAAACATATTTATGATCTGGACAAGACGTTAATATGAAAATAACAAAGTTCAATTACAAAAATGTTTTGAATTATTATTTGGCATGCACTTCACTTTTCCCTCACTTTTATTTATTTGCCTATGAAGGCTGCTTAGATGCGTCAAATACTTTTTAGGTATGCTTCGGACAACAATGAAGCAAAAAAGCACCCTGGTATTCCTAACATAATGTGGCAGTTAGATATATCATTATCACACAACTTCTTAAAAATTTCTTGATTCTATGAAAAAGCAAGCCGATATATCAAGTATTTTTTTAATTATGTTAAATACAAAAATAAGCGTGTTAGATAATAAAGGATAATAAGTCAAAATCATGGTAGAAGAATTTACCACTTCTGCACACTGCACCTATTCGATATTTCAAATTCTTTTTCAAGATATGCTAAAAACGAATATGAGCATTATGACAGACGGATACTATTACTATATCTCTGCGGTAATTTCTGCGGGGACGACTAGCCAGGACACACAGTATCAAAGTTGGAATATCATTTTTAACATAATTTACATTGTATGATGATATTTACTTGCTTTTTCTAAAGAAGCAATATTTACAAATTTATTTCTTTGGATAATTCCATTTAGTAATAAATGATATAATTCATTTCATTTGCATTTCGATAAAGTCCAACAATCATAACAGTAGTGAAAATTATATATTATATTCATAATTTCGCTTTTCACTGTGAAAATAATTAAATTTTATTTTACTTTCAACTCTAGAGCATCATGACTGTAATAAATATGTTTTTGCATTTAATTATTTGAAAAAATGATTTTTATCTATCATCTATTCAAGAAGAACTATTGTTCAATTTTATTTTAAATAAAAACATGAATAAAATATAATTTACCGACAATAAGACAAATTAACTCTGGAATTTACAGAAATTAGATGTACTTGAAAAATGTTTTTGGCGAAGTTTTCCAAATTCATGAATATGGGTGAGAACACTTTTTGTGAAAATGTTGCATTGATCCGATGTGCACTTTGTCAAATATATTTTAATCTTACATGCAAAACAAACAAATACTCTCTATTTAACACCAAAGGGTTGCAACTGGAACTCACAAAAACAAACATCAATTTCAACAATTGCACAAATTTTAATATTTTTCTTATCTTTGTATATTATTTACAACGTATATGAAGTATTTAATTTATCATATAATTGTGATCTGAGATCATTAATTTTTAAATAACATTTTTGAAAGTTACACTAATATTTAAAAGTTTATTAAATTCACTGTAAATGTGTTTAATTAATAATTTTTCTCTGAACAATGAAACATGAAAATTAACAAAATTTAACTTATTAACAAAACCAACAACTGTTTCAGTCATCATTTTACAACAGTCATACCATGAAGCACTTTCAAGTTATGCAATTAGTAACCAGATGAATATAGTAATACATGTAACTTGTCAGTCAGTCTTTTATTCAAACAACTGTCATGACTGTGGGTTATTAAGCCTGCTCAGTCACTGTCACTATCTACAACATATCTAATTCGTTTAAATGGCCTCTGGCGTGGACTTTCAATATTTGATGATGCTGGGCTAGGTGTGTGATGACCTGAATATTGAAGATGATTTGTTTGCGATAGCTGTTGACTTTCCGTCTTGCTTCCCATATTTATAATAACATTTCCATGTATATTTGAATTTATGAAGAAACCGGGTGGGAAATTTCCATTCGAATTAGTTGCAGCACCATGAGTAAGTTTCTAACGCTGAGGCTGGATTGCTCGCTGTAGCTGTGGCAGGTCTTACCAAAACTGATTGCATTGGTACATGTAGATTTGTTGGACAGGATGTCTGATATTTGTCTGCTTTGATCTGGGTTAAGTTTACTGTAGTTATTGATACTATTTACATGCTTATGCCCTGATATCTGCATTATTTGGTTTGCTGGAACACCATCATGACTGAATTTCTGAATAAGTCGCTTTCTTGAACTGAAATTATAAAAAAGAATTATAGTTTTATAAATAATCATAAAATTTGTATTGTAGGCCTATAGTCACTTAAATAACTTGGTACATGTATTTGAATCTCTAAATTGTGCTTAAGAATGAAAGTGATTTTAACTGACTTGTAAAGCTTTATTACCTAAATTTTTAAAGAGGAAATACAATAAATTGACATTTTCAGTTTAAAAATAGTTTAAGGGGTCATTTGTTTCCATAAATTTATTGTAAAAATACAAGATGAAGAATAATTTTACAGGGAATGAAATTTTTTGAACTCATTACATACTATCCAGTGGACAGTAAGTTGATAATTGATATTTTTTTCACAGTGAATACCGGTATATAGAGGATATTAAAGTTTTTTTCTATAAATACAGGATTTATTTTCATTGAGTGGTATGAAAAATTTAAATAAATATGAGTGGCAGTAGCCACAAGTGAAATATGATTATTTTCATACCACAAGATGTAAATAAAACTGTATTTCATAACTTTTAGAAAAAAAACTTGAATTTTTCAGTTTATTATATACATTTTTCCCTTTATGACATTACAATTTGAAAAACTCACCATTTAAATTTTGTTTATTGCCTGAATTAAGAAGAAAGTAGTCTGGCAGACACCAGTGAAAATACATGTACGGAAAAATATGTTTCATTACAGTGAAAAATAAATTTATGGGAAATGAAAATAAGCTTTTTATTTCATCAATATTTAATTCAAGTATATAATATATAATAAGAATACAATAAGAATCTTACATTGGCTGCCGGTACAGATGGGAATATCTACTCTAGCTTGAGGGTAACTGTTTACGGTGGTAACAAAGCTTAGACTGCAGATATTCCCGACTGTACCAACAGCCGCTGTTTGATTATTTTTCTTGCATATTACATATCAATTATTTTCAGAACAGAAATTGCGAAAACTGATATTTTCATTACGCACTTTTTTCTTATAGTAGCTTATAAACTTATAAGTAACGGTAAAATGACGTCATCCTAAGAACGCAATTCATTCATAAATGGCGCCCAGCAATGTGAATGACAGCATTAAAAGCATGCAACTAATGTCTTACATGGGGGTGCAAGACAGGTTTTTCTAGCACCGGTGTAAACGGTAGATAATCCTGTGTTATATGCAAGAATAAATTAAATATACTTTCACTGTAGCCAAACTTTATATGAATTCAACAGAAAAGAACTTTTTTCATTGTTGACATTATGATATCATGATTTTATGCCATCACTAAGGAGAGCCACAACATAACACTTCGAAATGAAGAAACCACTTAAATTTACATGCATCTCAAAGTGTGGCAATTGTGTGACTAAGTAAAAACAATATCACTCTGTTTAACTGTTCTTATTTAAGGTATGTAATAAATAGAATATCCTTTTTGTGCTGGTTCACTATTGAATTTATTTAACTTGTTGAATAAATAAAAAAAATTATTATGCTTGCCAGAGGCTAGCGGCCCTAGCCTAATATATTTTTTTTTTTCAATTTGTTCATTAAAGTCAGTAGTAAATCTTCACTCATTTAATATTTTCTAAACCAATTGGTTTGTTTTACCTGTAAGACTGTTACATACATGTATGGTGTGATTCTAGGGTTATCAATTCCTGCATCTTTTTTCATTTCATTCATGATATTGTATATGGAGTTGATACCCATGGCACACTTCTTAAACCAACATTTGGTAGCCTTAGTTCCAGGTGTTAAGAAAAATGGACTGTCATCAGTGCACATCTCAACTGGCCTTTTAGAAGCGAAAACCTTGTAAATATATACAGGATTGCTCTCTGGATTCTCTTGGTTTTCATAAGCCCTTGGTTTCACAGCCCTGAATATTGGTGAAAAAACAGGAAAGAATTAACACTTTAATCAACTTTTTGATAGTCTCTTAGAACTTTTTGAAATTGCTGATGAAAAGAATAATGGACATTTTGCTTTACCAACATCTTGTAAAATTTAAAACTAGAATCTACTGTATTAGAGTACCAAATTAAAAAAAACAACAATGTTTTGTCATGTTTTGATGACATCACTGGCACATCATCATGAAGAAGAAAGCATGATGTTATGCAGAATGACTGAAGACCACTAAAAAGTCTAAATTTAATAGATTATTTGTTTGATGGAAAATAATTTATCCTTGGACACAAGCTGTTTAATTATTATTTCTCATTGCTGCACTACTGATCAAAATATTAAAGAAAAAAAAAAGAATATTCCTCCTGTTTATATATAGATCAATTTTTTTTTAATGAATACATGTTTGTCAGCTTGATCAATGATTTAAACTGACAACATATAGTGCTTAAGTTTTAATTTTTCAACTGAACAAGAAATTTGACTAACCGTATATTTCTGGGATTTTCCCCAGTTTTGGTCTTGGTTTGTCTTTCTGTGTCGAGGATTATGTATTCAGTGCCACTGACTTCATCCAAACTGAGTTTTACATCACCCCAGCAAAGTTGATGGATTTCTTTACCGGTTCTCATACCGAAGTATGTGGTACATATAAACCACATGGAGTGGAGAAGAGCTCGTGGATTTTTTGTTCCAAGTGTTCCGGCTTCATGCATTTTCGCAATCATCCATTTATCCAGCGTTTTCTGCTGCTTTTGGCTTATTTCCTAGTCCAATCTTTTTTAACTCTTGTTGTTTCCTTTTTTAAGACTGCTCTTGTTTTAGAGAATTCTTTATCCCGAAAAATTGACACAGGGCTATCAACACTCCGTAATTGTCTATCAACTGATCCTAAGAACCTCGAAGGGTAGTGGGTTCATACTCGGAACCATCATTTTTGGTAACTGCCAGGATGAAATTACAGAGATGGCTGTTTTAATTTCATCAGGAGGTATAAACTGTATCAGTCTTGTTTTCATTTTTTGACATAAGGAAGGCATTAACAAGTTTCATTTCATACATGGTCTTCTCATTAATTTCCAAGAAGTTATCAGGGTCTACTTCTCTGAATAATCTCTCATTTGATTGCACCAGTTGAAAATCACCAAAGGGCTCTTTGTCATAAAAATTATCAGTTATTTCTGACAAAATGTCAGGATCTATTTCTGATTCAGCCATTTTATTGATTTGCAGACGAACTGTCAAAATTATACATGTATGTTGCTATATAAACAATGTAGGGGAAGTAACTCTAAATTGGTCAAAGGGAAGTAAGTTTTTAGTACATTTGAGGCATTCAAGGGGGGATTTATTGAAAGTAGTTCTTCTTGAAAAAGAATGGAATTATATTTGATATGTTTCACAGTGAAATTACCAAATATAATTTTCACAGAAATCTCAGTAATCTACCGAAAAGCATAAAATAAATACATAATATCCAAGCAAGTATAAACAGGATAAATTTAGCTGTTGCAATGTTTGAAGCAAATGAAAGACAAACCGACAGACGGGCGATCATCCAATATTACCTTCTACATATACATACTATAAAAACAATCATTTATATTTGCTTTTGATCCAACTGGCCAGTTATCCATAAATCAAGTATGATCAGCATAGCGTTTGTATTTTTTTTTATAAGTTGGATACATATTTCATCGGATGGACGGCGGACGAACGTACTGACAAAGGTTCAAAGTCCTCTCCGTATTAACCTGTAGGGAAAACATGTTGTGAGATAAGAATTTTGAATTTTATACGGAGCAGACTTTACAAAAGAACATTCTTTTGATAGATAAACCCCCTTTTTCTCGAAATATATTTCAAAATAATTTGTCCGTGAAAACAAGCTAGATCATAATCCATTTTAGTGTACTCGTTCTTAAAGATTAAAATCTAAATAATAAACCATGTCGGATGATAAACTGATGCTTCCTTCTCAATATGGGAAATTTCAGGTGCCACCTTAACCAGTAAGTTCACCCCTCACCAAAATCCTTCCACACACCGCTTTGTCCAAACCTGCCCTACCATCCGTCCCAGCTCTAATTTGCCCCGGCCCGGTCGCCCCTCCCTCCTCGTCCCCAAAGATAATTAAAATAAAATAAATCATCTTTTTGTCACGTGTATTTTAAACCATTAATACTATACATTGTACATGCACTTACAGAAATCTAATATTTATAACACTACTATGATAGAAATGATGATTGAACAAACGATGGCTTTGGAAATAGTAATTCATCAATAATAATTGACTAATTTGCTGGATCTAGCAAGATATTTATTGTCGTTATGATGTTTGACAATAGAACAACATCCTGCACAATAAATCCTATTTATAACGCAGGTACAAAGTAATGATACTACTCTGGATATGTTAGTCAAGCCATTTTATAATATTTCAATTATTTTAATGCAGCAAATGACTAGGATATTATATTGTTAATATATATTAACGTTATGTAATGTTGAACATCACAGAAGGACAAAGAAAGAACACTGAAACTACTGAAACAATTTCCTGTAATTATAATCTTATATAACGTTATGAATTTGGTTTTCATCTTCGAAATAGTAATATGAAAGCACATTTATTTCTAACATTGTTATTATTTTGTGTGTTTGTTACTATAAGCATCAATCTGAAGACATTTATGTTCAAAAATGAATATCATAGAATGAAGGAAATATTTAACAAGTATTTTAACAAAAATATTGGAGTAAATTCGTATGACAAAATATTCTGGGAAAAAGGTTATAATGACAAAATTTATGAAAAAACATGTTTTCGTCTTTCGTGGAATCAATCACTTTATCGGAATACAAAACAATACGGCAGTACACTAGAAGGGCAAAGTAAATTTAGCATTTTGAGTAATCCAATCAAATCATGCAACAGATATATTACAATTTGGAAATCGTGCGGAAGAATGGGTAATCAAATGTTTCAAGTTGCATCTGTTATTGGAATTGCTTACCAATATGATATGATACCCGTTTTCCCAAACCAAATGCTTTATACATATTTCAATTTACCTAATAAATATGATCAAAATTACCAACATGTTGAGAATAGCACCAATTGCTTATGTTCTAAAACGGCCACCTTTCATTCTTGTAAGGAATCATGGAATTCAACAAGAAACGTAACTATGCAAGGATTACTTCAGTCATGGAAGTATTTTGAAAATGCAAAGAGTATAATAAGAACCATTTTTAGATTGAATCACGTACATAACCGGAACGCAAAAGAATTTTTGGATAAAGTTACGACAAATAGTTTTCAGCATATATGTATACATGTAAGACGGGGAGATTTATTGCGAGAGACGTATAAAAAATACAGTGTACCAGATGCCGGCTTTGTTAGAAGAGCAATGGACTTCTATTTAAAGACATTCCAAAACGTTGACTTTATCATTGTATCACAGGATAAATTTTGGTGTAAAATGAATATCAAAAATGTCCCAATAAGTCCATTTGTAAATGCTGGAGATGATATGGCATTAATGAGATTGTGTGACCATGTGATAGTTACAGCAGGTACATTTGGATGGTGGGGTGCATGGCTTTCTGGTGGCATAACTGTTTATTACAAAGGATATCCTGGTCATAATTTGTCAAACAGGTTTAACTTATTTGACTACTATCCGTCGCATTGGGTCGGTCTTTAAAGTCTTATTTTGCGATTTTTATCAATGATTTTATTGCAATATGCATAACCAGTTGTGCCTTTTATGATAACGTGAAACAACATTATTGATAAGATGGGGCAAGCTAAATGTAAATATGAGAAGACGTGCAAAAATGTTTGAGTTTAATCAAGATATATCGTACACATGGGTATACATTAGTGAGAAATGCACGCGACGTTACCAAACCTACGAAATATTGAAGATATAATTGCGTCACCCTAACCCTAACCCTAAGGAGAAATTTAATATATATTCAACTTGCCTAAATAAGTTAACCTTACAAGCTCTTTTTCATGCAATGGCTATAACGTGTCACATTAAAGTTTCCATGATAACCGCCAAATAGACAAATCTTCGATGTTCAAAATTCAAAATTTTACCAGGTTGTGTTAAATGTTGAATTGTCCTTGAGTCGATGCTAGGGGATATGAACGGTAGCTTGCAATTACCACTTCCCTTAATGAACAGGTTCAATCAAATTAAGCTTCAGCACTTTCAAATTCGACGTGTTGTGCTTTGTTGAGGGGACCTGTGTTTCTCTATTTTCACAGAGAGTTTAAGTTAGCCGAAGACTTTTAATTATTCCATTTTTATGTTATTCTTGGCAGGTCTTCGTTAACACAATTGAGACATTCGACATCAGTCACAGAAACAATACAAAGCATGATGTCTATTATAAAAATATCCTTTGACATTGAATCTTATTTAATTATAGGTATTACAAAATAGTTGAGAGTTATCAAAACAAAACATTAAGATGTACTAGAAGAAAACATAACGTTGGGAATCCTTACGAAGACTTTTCTGTGACCAAATCTCATTTACTTTAGTTCCTTGTTGAATCAGTTTTTAACTTTCAAATTATTCGGCGTAAGATCGTTAAACTTTGAAAAAAAGATTATCATTTGAAATAAACCATATATGATAATTGAACGCTATTTATCATTAACTGTTTGCCATATTATAAGCTTTAGAAATAAAGATTTGCACATATATAAAAAATGGAATTAATAAGTGAATTCATTTTTTCATATTTCATAACAAATTTTTACATATATGTCATAAGCTTTGCCAAATTCTATGTATATTGGGTATCAACCACAGTCACCTAGCACTACATTATTGCTAATTAAAATCGTTCGCAAGCCAAACGATGAATAACTTCACAACTATCACTGGTTTTAAATCCCAATAATTTGGATCCATACAGAAGAGTGATTGACAATATTTTTGTATCAAATAATTTACAAAATACATATGAAATGTACATACTCATACAAAAACGAAATAAAGAAAATAATACTCGTTTAGCTTTCATTGTAAGCTCATTGCTCGGTAAAGTGGATATAAAAATTTCTCCAACATTTGTAAAAGAATTGACTATATCGAGTTACTGATTGTTATAGTGAAAAAAATCATTACGCACCAAGCGAATGCCCTTTTTAAAAACCATAACTTTTGTTTTTGAAGTTTTTACCTGCAAACAACTAGATATTAGTTTCTAATTCAGTAAATTGATATTGTAAATCTCTTACTGTTTAGGCAATCAACGCTACGTTATCCACAGTAATCTGCAAACATAAGCAGCCATACTGAAATTTTATTTGGCATTATGTTTATACCTTTAATTTAATCGTCATTGTTTATCATTACTGATAATTCATTTATGAAAAATGAGAACAATATTGGCGAAGCCAGTCGTCCTTCTTGACGCCCAATCGGGCAATTAGAATAATCTGAGATGTGACCATTTGAACGTACACATGTTTTTACATTATTATACATTTCAGTAATAGAACTTAAAGGATTTCCCCTTATATAAGCATTGTAAAGTATTTGCCAAAGCTTATTTCGATTGACAGAATCAAATGTTTTTTTTTTAAATCAACAAATGCAACATATAATTTTCCCTTTTTTTTAAAAAAAAAAAACCCTTAGAAATAAGCAATTGTTGAACAAATGCATTATCAGTGGTACTTTAACCAGCTCTAAATCCAGATTGGGATTAGTCTGTCTTATTAAAAACATTGGCATAAAAGGCAAGATGTCTATTTAGAAAAGTTGTGTTTATCTTACTAAAATGTTAAGCAAGGAGACTCTGTGATAACTTGCTGGATCATTGCGTTTACCTTTTATGTGCAATAGTATAATTATAGCGGTACATCACGAATCTGAAAATTCCCCTTTAACAAATACATGTAATCTTTCAAATAAAGTAACCATAAATGGCATAATTGAATCAAAATGTATTTATAGACATTTGGTTGGAAATCATCAAGTCCAGGTGCTTTGGCAGATTTCAATAAACATATACTCGATAATATTCCTTCTTCTGTGATTTCTGAGCTGAAAATCTCATTTCAATTTTCAGTTAAGTTTCCACCAAGGGCAATTTCTTCCGCGTCTTCATCAACCAGGCGTTGAAATAATTTCTCAAAATTATCTTTCCAAGATCCTAAAGGAATACTGCACTGAGCGTTACTGTTCGAATATGAAGACACAAAATATTTGTTTTACTAAATCATCGAGCTTCTAATTTAAAAATTATGTTTCTTTTTATCTTCACAAAGATTTTAACTTGTTTTTATGCCCCCACAAAGTGGGAACATATAGCGTTGCACTTGTCCGTTTGTCCGTCCGTACGTCCCGAAATCTTGTGAACGCAACTTCTCTTAAACCGATTGACTCCTCGATTGAAATAACATTTCCGTTTTTAAAATCTATTTATAATGATATATTTAACAATCAAGTATGCCCAGCATTATAACAACTTTACTTCATATAAACATATAATTTAGGGGCGTCCGTGGCCGAGAGGTTAAGGTCGTTGACTTCAAACCAATTGCCCCTCACCGCTGTGGGTTCGAATCCCGACAGGAACTTTGGATTCTTTAATGTGAGTAAGCTGTCCACCTAGCTTACGAAACGTCGGTGATTCTACTCAGGTTCCCGTTCGTGCCTGAAATGATGTACAGAAGGGCAGCTGGAACATCGCCATAAGACCTTTAATGTGTCGGTGTGACGTAAAACCCAATTAAACAAACAAACAAACAAACAAACATATAACTTGATTATTTCTCATTTATTTTAACAAGTTTGTATCTAAATAAGCAAACTAAATTAGTGCTACAAATTATATTATGAAAAATAAATGTAAACATTTTACAATGGGCGATATTGGACACTTTTTTTGATTCTGAAGAGGTATGAAAGCGGATTGTTTTAAGATTAAAATTTTTGTAGCGAAATAACTTAATACAAACTTTGGTGTAAGTTTCAGGTCTGTAAAAAATTGACTGCATGAGCTATTATAATTTTGAAAATAGAGACCATCTTGAAATAGCAGTTTTTTACCCACTTCTCTCTTAAACATCAACATGATCTGAAGATGATTTCCTAAAAGTTTCATGCAGGTTTCACTATTTGCACTTTTTTTCTCAATGCCCGCCTCACTATTATACGAAATTATTATTCTGCTTGCTTATTTCATAAAGTTGACGATGTAATTAGCCACCCTGAGATAAAATTAAACAAACAATATACACTATACTAGTAATTATCTAAAACAAAGAATATAACAGTACCTGTAAATTTTCTTAACACATTTGCATTGACAAAAATGCCTTAAAGGATTCATAAACCCTTAAAATAATCAAATTTCGATTTCTTCTGTAAACAACTAGTTTTATCAAATAGATGTGCCGGTTTGTTTTCATATCCAAATAAAAGACAATCACCTAAAACGACATTGCTTAATCGCTCCATATAATCATCAGATATTGTTGAATAAGCCTGAAGCATCGCTTCCGCTCTCTGTAATTTTAATTTATCTTTATAAACTGCTGATACATTCATTGCTTTCGTCAACTCACTTAAAAAGTCTTCTTTTTTTATGTCATTCAGATTGGTTTCGTTATATGGAAAGTTAATTGTTTTTAAAACATGTCCTGTAATTTGATAATAACACCATGCACGAAGGTAAACATCATACAAAGATATATTTGAATCTTTCAGCAAAGGAATAGTTCTAAATAAATGCTTTATCGGTCCCAAAGTAGTCCATTGTTTCAAGGAGATCAGAATATCCTTTTGATACATTCCGACTGTTTCTTCCTGTAGGTTATTAAAAATGAAATCAAAGTCGTTTTGTAACGTCTCAAGATGTGCGATATAATCAAACTTAAAAACACATGGATTACAGGATTTATGGTGCATTGGTCGAACATGTTCGTCCAAACGATCATTATTTTCATATGTGTCCACAGTGTATTTAACTAGTTCAGAAAAAGATAAATCATGCCCATAAGTAAGACTGTCATATGAAATATTTAACCGTGTAAGTTTTATGAGTTTAATTCCTCTGTAAAGCCAATCTTCCTTTGGGAAATAGAAAATATTGCAATAAGTGGAAAACAAACGACCATAAGGTTCACGAACAACCATAAATGAAAATGCGTCATCCATCAACTGTCTTGCGTTTGTATTTAGACGAACACGTTCAGCATTTTTTATCAAGCATTCTGTATCGCAGCTAAACAGCTGTTTAAGTAATTCTAGTGTCATTGTGGATGCACATTTATTAACTCTACAGTACAAAAGTTTAAGATTTGGTGACATATGTGCCCTAATATTCGTTGAATTTACATCCTCCGAATAGCCCAATTGTCTACATGCTTTATACAGTGTATCCAACCAATTTGTATTATTCACCATTATGTCATTCGAAAAGACACACTTATCCTGAAAATTAAAATCTGTGAAATATTTTTTATGTTTTGCACAAAGTTTAATGTTGAAATTATCACAAAGCTGAGTTGGGGCGTCTTTGGACGAGTGGTTAAGTTCGTTGACTTCAAACCACTTGCCATTCATCGCTGTTGGATTGAATCGTTACAGGTACTTTGAATTATTTCATGTGAGGAAGCTTTCTCGCTAGCTTGTGAAACATCGGTGGTTTTACACAAGTGCCCTTCCGTGGCTGAAAGTCTTTCTCCACCAGTAAAGCTGGAATGTCGCCATATGATATATACTGTGTCGATGTGACTTCAAACACAATCAAATCAAACAAAACAAACAAACAAAATCTCGAAGTTGGTATAGTTCATTTCATTTCAGAAAATATTGTATATGAAAATGAAAAGATTTCAAATAATAAACATCAGAAAGTGTTTATGTCACAAACAGATACTTTTCCCTTGATATATTAACAAAATAAATAAAATAGTTAAAGTCTATTGTAAATTGCAATGATATATGTAAATAATCGGATCAAAAAGCCAATAAGACATTTATATCGACTGTTCGAAGTTTATGTGTTGCATCAGAAGTTATCAATGATTCAAATATATTTTGGTAATTTACTTACCTTCATTTGAAGTAATCATAGAATATATTATATGTAAAGGATGCTTTTTTACATTCAAAGATGAAGCATGTCCAAACAGTATTAAGACAAAATCTATTGGTGCTGTAATCGACATGTTATCTACCTTTTAGATTATTTATATCGAAAAAAAAAATCATTTTAAATGTTACTTGTCATACAAAAAATACTATTGTTTTATGTTTATTACCTCTTGATTATTTCTAGAATTTTCTTTCTTTTGATTTTGGTCTTCCGCAATGTAACATATTCCTAGAATTTGAAATGTTTATTTGAATTGTTGACATTTTAAAACATACACACTTGTCAATGACAGCATAGTGAACTAGTTGAAGATTAAAAAAAAACGGCAACAAGTTGTGTTTCTCAGTGTTATTCATGCCAATATTTATGATTTAAATTTAAAAGAAAAAACATTTTCTATTTGAAGATTATATTTAAGTATAAAAAGAGTATACATGTAATAATTGACACAGATATGCAACGAAAGCATGATTTACAAGTTTTAATAGATAAATTAATTGATAAATGGTTAAGGTTAAAAAGCAGGCAACATATCCTTAGGGTGTTTCAATATTCAACATATTGGAACCCATTGAAATAGAAAAGGTCAAATAGAAAGGCTAAAAATACCACAAACATAAAAAATAAATGTAACGCTGAACGATTTTAAGGGTCGGAAATATAACATCTCTGATTACGTGGCAACGTATTACGATCTTCACACGACAAAATCAAATATTATAAACGATCGTTATACTCAGCATAAATATAATGTTTTGGTTTATCCTTCTGATGTAGACTTGTACAAAAAAGTATATTCATCAATTAATTACATTTCTCTTTAACAAAAATGTTTCAGTTACTTACCAGTAAGAAGCTGTAAACCAAAGATGATTATGAAAAGTAGAATTATTTTTTTTCTTCGCATTTTCAACTTTCTTGCTCTATGTCTATTTTAAATTTCCTTTTAATTACTTAAACATAAAGTGTTCAGACATACGTAACATCTTTGATTCATGTGTTCCCTTTATGTGACTTCCTCTTATCATAGCTTCTTTCGAAGGTTGTTTACTTGTATTTGTTTAAAATCAACATAGGGCAAAGCAAAATATGTGACAAAAAAGCCTTATCTCAGGCAGAAGCAAAAAGATTGCAAGCGCATAATTCAATACTCAAGCTGTACCAAACGCTATTTCTTAAAAAGTAATTTCAGGAAATTACCGTTATTCCATCACAATATTTACACGCTCAGTCTTAAAATCTACAAACGAAATGTCCCTTTTACGGCTGTGTAAAACGTAAGATTTGTTCGACAATCAATATATAACTTAGAGCTCACACGCACATAACATAAGTAAGATTAGTATGTGAGAAAATTATATACAATCAGTTTAATAAGGTAGCTTTCGACATTTTATCTTCTTCAGAAAAAATGGCGTTTATTTAGACAAAAGAGAACAAAACGAACATCTTATGTTTTAATTGGACAAGCTTTATTGATAACATTTTTTCACGAACGAGACGAAACATATAAGCGAGATATCATTTTATTTAAGTGTCAAGTAAATTTTTTACAGCATTTACCTAACAGGAATACGCGACAAAAATTTCACCGGCATGATTTCCATATCGATGCGATTGGACACAAGGCAGGGCAGCGAATTACAATTTGGAGATAAGTGACTAAATGAGTGTGAAGATTTTAGTGACGTGTCAGTTTATATCATAACTAATAATTTAAACAGAAACAATAGGGTTGGTGCAGGAATTAAGAGGAAACGTTTGGTGTGTAAAGAATATAATCGTATATGACGATAGTGTAATTTTGCTGAAGTTATGAGTAATCTTGTGTGTTTATACTGTCAATTATTATGAAGTGCTAGAAAATCAGTTTTTTAGTACTCTCTCAGAATGATGTTAAATCTTTAGATTAATCTATAAGTCATTGTTTTAAAGACCTTGTTCTGTATCGGTAAATGTTATAATACAAATTGACTTTAAGAAGTAAATGGAAGACAAACTGATAACTATTTTCTGCAGAGACTATTATTATAGACCACAAACGGTGTAAATTCATGATGAAATACTATTCTGAAAACACTTCGTCATGTGCCGCTTCGCATTGTCGGGTGTCGCAGTGTAAAAGTCAGAAAAAGATCGCGATATTTTATAAAATATTGCTTAATATTGTCGTTTGTCGTATCGCATTGTCAAGCGTCGTATCGCATTGTCGCCTGTCATGGTCTGTATTTCTGCTCACCACGACACTCGACAACGCGAAGCGACAGTGAGACAACGCGAAGTGACAATGCGACAACGCGAAGTGACAATGGGAAGTGACGCCCGACAAAACGAAGCGACACTCGACAACGCGAAGCTACATTTCTTTAAATGTCGTCCTTTTTTAAGATAATATTACTAAAATAACCGCCGTATGAACACATCTGCGGATGTTTCTAAATTCAAAATTTTACTATTTCATGTTTAAATGTTGAATTCTGCTTAAGCCGGTGCTAGGGGGCGTGGACGGTAACTTGCACTTTCCAGTACCGTCCATGAACAGGCTCAATCAAACCGAGCCTGCAACATTTTCAATTTTGCCGTGTTGGGCTTTCTTTAGGGATTCTGTATTTATCTATTTCATGATCACATCCGTGTTATTTGTGCCGTGTGGCGGCTGTCAAAAGTCTCCCCGTACATTTAATCAATGATGTGATATTTTCGATCCTTGAAGATCGTTCAGCACGACATTATTGTTGTGCTTGTGGTATTTTTAGTTTCAACTTTTCGGCATTTTCTAGTTGGGTGGTTCCAATATTCCCACTTGAATAATGTTGAATCACCCTTATGATATGTTGCCTGCTTTTTAAATTTGTCTTTTTACGTCTTATCTGTGATACGCAGACTTCTTAACCTCTGATCCCCTTTCAAAATTCCATTTTATTTAGTTCCGCCCATTGTTTTCTCGTTTAGGGCACACGCTTTTTATTACTTGGGGACCATACGCCGCTTTTCATGGAATGGCACGGAAGTGTCACATTGAAGGTTCCATGATAACCGCCTTATGAACAAATCTGCGGATGTTTCTAAATTCAAAATTTCACTATTTCATGATTAAATGTTGAATTCTGCTCAAGCCGGTGCTAGGGGGCGTGGACGGTAACTTGCACTTTCCAGTACCGTCTCAATGAACAGGCTCAATCAAACCGAGCCTGCAACATTTTCAATTTTGCCGTGTTGGGCTTTCTTTAGGGATTCTGTATTTATCTATTTTACTAAATGACATCTCGATATTTTGTTTGACCATTTGGAGCGTCGCTTCGCGTTGTTGAACATCGTATCGCATTGTCACTATGTCACTCCGCATTGTCGTGCATCGACCCTTAAACGCAACGAACGACATTATAAAAGGCACGATAAGGACACCGTAACATATAGATATCTAGAAATGTTTTCCTTTTGATAAATGTTACCATTTATCCAAGTTGAAAATGTTTAAGTCCTAATTTCGTTTTAAGTCCACTTAATGTAACACTTTTAATCTTAAACAAGATCAAGAATTTTATTCATGAAAAAAACTTTATCTTCAGTGATGTTATATTTTTCTGGTCCTTGGAATCAATGATGCCAGCACTATTAAGTGTTCAGAATTGAAACCCGCTCAAACCGGTGCTAGGGGACGTGAGGGATGTTGCAGTTATACTTTGTCCCTTATGTACAGACTCAATCAAACTGAGTTTTCAATTTCCATTTAATTTTGTTGTGATTAATGCTTGCGAGGAATTACTTTGTTTCAAGATTTTCTAATTGTCTTGCTGATTTTTTACATTATTCAAAACCCATAAACCAACTTTATGAAAGTGTTGGTACAGGAATGTAGTAAATCAATTGAGATTTTGCATAACCCTTACCTTTATATGCATTTTACACTTGAAAATGAACTAAGCATGAATTTGTACACTCAAGATCATTTATGAAATTATGTGTGCTTGATGTGTTTTATTTTAAATGGTATGTTTTAAAGGGGAAATTCTAACATGTAAAACATACTGAAATATTAATATTTAAGGACGTAGAATATGAAACGAATAAGACACGATAAATTTAAAGGTGAAAGAAAGATATATTGGTTATTGTATGAAAATACTTTGATATAGAAATTAATTTGAAGAATTAGAGAGTACCTTAACATAAGATTTTATAGCTTAAGGTCTTCAGCGTACCCGTTTATATACTATGACATGACGTGAACGCTGAAGATAACCCCATAGGGAAAGTCCACCAATAATCGTGCCAGGAATCTGACACGCTCGTATTTATTCATCGAACATGCCATGAAGTAAAGTGAAGCATACCTTGATAAAACTATATATAATCTGTTGATAAGCTAAGGATGGACAGATAAAAATCTAATTACGAACATAAACTACCTAATAGTTTCCGACAGGTAAAATTTTCGGCACTTGGCCGCCATATTGCCAAAATGTTTGATCACGTGATTACGAGATTGACCTTTACGAACCCATGTGCCTCCAATATTTTTATAAATTACTTTTTTTAAAGATATTGAAAAAGGTGATTTACTGACTTTTCAATACAATCGTATTTAAGTACTAAAAAATTAATGAAAATAAATAAAAACATTATCTTGAATAAAAGTATCGAAATAATGTCAACAAAATGTTCTAAATATAGTACACGACTCTATGCAAATCTGTTCCCGCGAATGACGTCATACGAGATCTCGCGTGGCACCTGAATGTCATGGCCAACTGTAGTCGGCGTAAATTGATATTTTACAGTTAAATATGCAATTTTAATGACGGTATTAATATTTTGATACTTTAATTGGTATAAAATGATATTAAAATGATTGTTTTATCGTAAAATGCACAAGAATTGATTGGGTCAAGTGTATTTGCAAGTGAAAAACAAGAATAAATCAACTCATGTTATTCTGGTTAGGTTTCGTAACGGGTCTAATCCAAAACTTTAATGCCGCATCAGATGAAAAACAAAAATGTTAAAAAGCGGCTTATAAAGTTTTGGAAGCCAGAACTAAAGATTTTATAACCTGTATTGTAGATTTTAGATATTTAATAAAAACAATTATGTACAAAGTTGACTGGCCATTAATAAAAAATAAATGAAAGTAATAGATCAATAGTAAACCCGGAATCTAAAGTTTGGTACGATCAAATAAATGTTCGACATGAAAGGATAGGACATGAAGGACATTCGAACAATGAACACCAAACAATTCATTAAGGATGAAAAT